GAGAGTGAGTGAGAGTGAGTGAGAGTGAGTGAGAGTGAGTGAGAGTGAGTGAGAGTGAGTGAGAGTGAGTGAGAGTGAGTGAGAGTGAGTGTGAGTGAGTGAGTGAGTAGCAAAGTTCCGGCCAACGCTGGCCAAGACCCATCCGATCGAAATCGATGACCGTCGGAGTGCCCCGCACTGTCGTCGCTACCTTTACATGTACGTATAGTCTTGTCCTTGGTGCATTTGTAGTCGAAATTGAACATTTGCAGTGTATACACTATAAACGCACATTTCCAGTTAACGCTTTTTTAAGGTCGAAGAGCATCTCCAGGTTGAGTCACGCAATGGCTTCATACTGATTTGGCTGTCCGGCACCCCAGGTTTCTCCGAAGCCTCCCATGACACCAAAGACTAAAGCTATTTCGTGCTTCGAAGGTCAGAATGATCAGCGAGATTGCTTCTAGTAGAGGTTGTTTCTAGTAGCGACGCCCTTCGTTCCTAGTAGTGTCCTTTGTTCCTAGTAGCGATCTCTCACCCTCACTCGCATTCACACCCAGCAAACGGCGGAGGCGGGAGGCTCAAACGAGCATTCAAACTTCTGCCTACTTTGAGACCAACTCCCAGTGAACATTGATATGCATAGCTTTCATCTGAAACCTCCATCAGCAGGATCAAGTGCGTGAGGTTTCAACTCACTCCTTTGCAAACTCCATCTTTTTTGCCAATGCCGGGGCTCTGGCTCTGCCGCTGCAATTGCAGCGTTCCAGGAGGCGCGAGAACGCTGGCCCCGCCACTGCCAGAACTCCTGCGCAAACTCACACGCCAGCTACATGACTTCACAACCATCACAAAGCTTGCGCGCGTGGTCCAAGAAAGGCCCTAAAAGGTTCGGATCTCCAAGGGGTGTGGACGGTTCAAGCACCCATGGAGAATGTAAAATGCAGGGAAACCGCATACAAAAGCGGCCTTTCCTTTTTTGAAGAGGGAAGGCCACAAGTGGTTTTTGATGCAATTGAAGGTGCAAAGCTGCAAGTGCAGAAAAACTTTGGAAGCACACCAGAAGGAACCATCAAGAGCGACAGGAACGCAACACCTACAAGTGCGCCACCTCGATGCATATGTTCTTCCACGGACTCGGCCTCGGCGAAGATCCGGGGGAAGGTGTTTATGGTTTTGTCGTTTTTCTTTTTCCGGAATCAAGTGTTTGGATGTTAGTTTGGAAGTGGGAAATGGTGGAATATCTCCATGGACTTCCTGACGTACCGAGAGACGAATCATACAACATCTTCTCAGAAAGTCCATCGTTTAGGACCTGTTTGCCAGTGTTACCACTCCATTGGCAGAAATGACAGGCATCACAGCGTCAAAGTAACTCTGGTCTGAATTAAGCAAGACATAGCAAGGCCATGTCAAACACCATCTTTTCACCATTTGCTGAAGCATTTCTGCTCAACAGACCTCTCATTGAGTGGAATTCCTCCCAAGATGTCTTTTCAATTGCATGACTTGTGGAACTCCTCCATCCCTCGGCATGTGTCAACGCCTCCCTCCTTTTGAAGGTCGGACTTGACAGAAGGTCTCTGGATGACCCTGAAGCCCCTCATCCCCTTTCAGCATCTCGACCATCTTGCTGAGATGCAAACAAGGACCCAAACGACACATCCAACGACCCACAAAGGTGTTCATGGGGGTTTGCCCCAAATTCTGCTGTTACAGGACACACGTCCAGGCCTCGATACATCCAAACTACTGTAAGGACTCAAAATATCATGAACAGTTCAATCACTTGGGTCTATCTATCCGATTATCCTATTCCCTGTAACGTGGATGATGATGGTTAGGTCGCAGGCCTTTCTCTAAATAGTTATATATTTTTTTGGCTCACTGTTACAGATAAGTTCGGACAGACCCAATCAATCACCTTCTATATATATATATATATAAGGTCTTTAAGAAGGATACGTTGCGGCGATACGTTGCTGCTCTGCAATGGGTTCATCTAATCAAGCTGCACCTATTCCAAAAGTACTGCCCTTTCGGAAAGTCCCGAAAAGGCATTCCTGTTGGACATCTAGGTTGCAGGAAGCAGGTGAATGGGACTGCCCAATTGATTGAATGTATTTCTTCGAGAAACATCTCATTTGCCTCCATGAGCACACCATGGGGACGGTCACACGATCACGTCAAGCAGGTCTCACCGAGCACCGAGCGCACCGAGAACACATCGAGCACCCCGCGTCTCGGTCATCCCGAAAAACGTCCATCCCTGGGGGCCATCGGCGGGTCCCAAATTCACCTGTTCTTTGCATCATCTGTTATCCACCAAACTGGAGAGGCTTGTTGTTCTTTGCACACTGGAAAAAAGAAACAACAAAAACAACAAGCCTCTCCAGTTTGGTGGATACGCGCCCCCAAATCAGGGAACATCAACTTCACGCAAATGGACCGAACCCCCACACTGGGAGAGGGTTTGTCCAAGGTATGAAATGCTGTTCAACTGGATAAAGAACCTTTTTGTGAACATGTTAGTCCTCTTAGTCCACATCGGGACGTGTTAATAGTTCGATTCAACATGGTACTTGCGAAGGAACTGGCGCAGACGAACACGTTGAATCCCTAACATGACATTCCTGTCCATAGAACAACAACATGCGGACCCCAGTTCAACAAGGGCTGGACACAAATTGAACTTAAATCATCTGACAAGCTGGTAAGATGCCCGCCCATGTCTGGTTAACTCATGCTGGTCTTCTGTGACCAAAGGCGCCATTAAGAGAAACTGAAGACTAGAACTCAGTCAACATGACCAACACACTTTCTTTGCTAGTGGTACTCTGTTGGGCGCTGGGCTGCATCATTTGGAAAAAGACCTGCATCATACGGACCCGACAAACGCATGTGGACACGCCGTCTTCCGAGCCGAGCCGCTGGTCCGCAACGAAAACCCTGGGACCGCGTGGAGGTCTGGTCCCAGAGACCGCTGGACAGTCCAACTGAAGGTCCAAACGGACCCGAATGAAAGGAAGTCACTCGACAAATCTCCGCAGAAAAAACACGGACCGGGTTCAGGTTTCGACTCACGAACGAACAATACTGTGCATATATACACCATATGGTGATCAATGGGTTCAATCATCCAAAGTAAAGGTTGAAGATTAAACAACCATATCCGAAACCACCATTCGAGGACCCTGAGATGGATGAAGTTGACATCCATCCTCAGCAACTTCTGAAAACGTCTTGGACCAAAACATCGACCTTGGACCGGTTCACCAAGCCCAGCCCGTTGGAAAACACTGTTGGACGAGTCCTTTTTCGGCCTTTCGAGTCACCCTCCATGTTCACGACGAGAACATGTTCACACCCGAGGACGTGTCCATGGCACCAAGGTTGGAATGGCAATACATGAAGGTTTGTGAAGATCAATGAAGATTATCTCCCCATCATACTTCATATGCCCCATCCTCCCCTCCATCCCTCCTTGGGGTTCCTCCGACGCTCTCCTACCTCCTTGGGTTCCTCCTCCTCGCACCCGCTCGCACCCGCTCGCACCCGCTCGCACCCATCACCGGCTCGGGCCACCGGCATTGCTCAGGTCACCGGCTCGGTGGTGAAGCGGGAGGCGTGTGGAGGGAAGGAAAATGGAGCATCCAAATGGGTGTTTGGGGTGTTTTCGGAAGGCCTGAACTTAAAAAGATCTGCGGTCAATTTCCTTCCGGTTCGTGAAGGTGTGTTCCTCAAAGCATCGGATGCGGTCTGACGCGATGAATCCGGGCGATGTTCGGGAAGCTGCACTCCTTAAGGTCACCTTCTTGAGCCTCTTAGCCTGCCAAAATGGAGGGTGTCCTCATGCTCCTAGCCTTTCCAATTTATCATTTACCACCTGCCTCCAGTTCGTTTGTCCCCCTGCTGAATGTGAATTGAAAGAAACTTGTGGATCTTCCAAGCAACCAACCATTCATGTGTTTCACAGGTCACCAAGGAGTCTAGGCCAATAGATTTTTGGATGTTCAGACCTCTAAAGATACCAGTCAGATGGATCGTCCCATGGATCCTGGACGCCATGGAGCTTCCAGCCATCCCTCTCTGATCGTCCCTCCAAACAAGAAAAGGCTGGGGATAGTGACCAGGTCAATCCAGGTCAATCCTGCACGGCCTTTGAGCCGTTCTCCGTCATGTCAAGGGACCAACTGAACAAGACCTATTTATGACACCACAGCGATACATGCGATAAACACTCGTGCACGGACAGCGATACATGCGGAAAACATCCGGACGTATCATGTTCGTATTCGACCTCGGGAACTCTTTGGGTCCGATGTCCGTACGTCTGCATGGTGACTCATGGTGAGTCATGTACGCAATCCACCGGCCGACTCGTCCGACCCTCTCGTTGACACACGGGCCGGGATTCTCCACCAGAAAGCGCCCAAAAAGAACGTTCCAATCCGGTCTTGGTGCTACCATGCGAGCCAAGAACCTAACATTTCTGCGGTCCCAATACAAACGCGCGTCTTTTGATGTGTCAACATAGAAAACCTCGGTTTTCATGAAAAACCTATCTTTTGTTGATCTCAGCCCACATGTTTGCCAGTTCATCCTCCTGATCCACCACCCCCTCTGCCAGGCCCTGCCATCTCTCCTTTTGGGCGCCCGCAAGGGGTCAAGGGAAGCTGGTCATTGAGGCTGCCAGCTTCTCTGCAGGGTGAAAGCTCTCGGATGAATCCGGGCAAGCATACAAAGGAACATCAAAGGAAAGTAAATTCTCAATCGTTTTTTCAGGATGCGGATCCACCGCACGTGTCAATGATGACCCTGCTTTGCTGAATCTTTCAACAGTTGGCAGCCCACTTCAATGAGATTTGGCAGTGGCAATCTGGCATACATGTGCTTTGGAACAACGAACATGTCTGTTGAAAGTTGGAACGATGTTCATCAACTTTCAATGCTCTCATTGCGTGGGTGATTGAGAGCCATGGCTTTCAGCTCCTTTCATGGAGGAGGCACGCTCCTGGGGGGCAGCGGTCTGTCTTGCAGACAGATCGATCGAGCGCACATCGAATTAAGTATTTAAGGGATGGTATAGTTTTGAAGCCCACAAACAGAATCTCAACTCCCCAATATTGAGATGCAGGATCTCAGGGTATTGCAACATCATGCCACAACCATGCAACAATTTGCACGTGGTATGGTATAGAGCTATTCTTGGCTCAAGCCTGTGCCTGCACATTTTTGGGCTGGTGGACATGCTGGCACCTGGTGCGAAGCCAATGCTGGATGTCTCTGATCTGGCTGAGCTGCTGGATCAAGATCCAACTATCAGGACATACTTGCGTGAAGAGGGGTCCCCTGCCCTTTTCCCAGAAAACACCCAAGACTGCATCAAGGATGCTTGCAAACCTCAAGTCCATGCCTTGTTGAGAGTCGTTTTGGAAAAAACTGTCGCAACAGAGGGCATGCCCCAACCAGCGATCAAACCACTGCGTGAGCAGATCGCACTGTTGTACCAAAAGAACTCTCGTGTTCCTGATGAGAAGACCATCATCAAGGACTCCTGGTACATCAGGAAATTCTTGACGTTTGTGAAGATGAAGGTCCGGAAGCACAAGGTATCAAGAGTGGCTAGTCTCAATATTGATGCTGAGAAGCTGCATGTGCGCGGTATATGTCTGTTTGTTTTGTGTGGTTTGGCTTCCAATATAGAGCTGTTGCTCGGATCCATGAACCATGTAACCGAATGTGCGGCTGCATCAGGTCCGGAAATTCCAGGGCTTGAGGACGGGGAAGGGATGGATTGGGCGGTCACAGTCCACAGTTCCAAAATGTTCAAAAAAACGTCGAACACCATTGCGCATGACTTTTGTTGCGCACAGGAGAGATGTGACTGCGTGGGAAGAGAAACAACAGAAGTTGCGTGCCGCGAAGGCGGGACCACGGGTTTCAAATTGATCCGGACAGCTAAACTTGTTCATGCCATTCGGGGCCAAACAACCTACAGTATTACATTGCTTGGTCAAAGGCTTGACAGGATTGGTGCTGTTTGGTCTGACCGGCTTGGATGGGGTCGAATAAGAACATCATTGCTTCTGTGACGTTCCTATAGGCACCACCAGCCCCATTTCCAACTCAATCGTAATTGTCCGCAACCATGCGACCCAAGAACAACGGAACTGAAGGCAAGGGATGTATGAACAGGTTGACAATGCATTCACATGCAAGCATTGTCCAGCCCTGACAGGGTGATCCAATGCTGGGAGATGGCTATGCCGATGCCTATGACTCGGAAGGTTCTGACAGCGCGGACCCTTCTGCCAAATCGGGGTCTGATGATGGGGACAGCGATGTGGAGATTGAAGTTTTGGGGAAAGATATTTCACCACAGAAACCCGCTGAGCCACCAGCTCAGCCACCCGCAGAGCCACCCGCAGCATTGGCTGCAATCCCAGATCCCACCATTGCTACCCCAGGCCCAGTGCACCATGAGCCCAGTCCCAGTCCCAGTCCTCCAACTGAAGCTCTAGCTCCATCTGGCAACGTTGAAGAACGCCTCATGCGTGTTGGGCTCAGGTGTTGGTTCTATAAGTTAAGATACCTTTGATGTATATATTGCTGCAGACTTCCTCTAACAGCTCCAGTAACAACTGCTGCAAAAGTTTGATGGTGTCTCCGAAGCCAATTCAAGTGCCAAACAAAACTCGTTGCTGGTTTCTCAGGCGATCAGCTCGCTTCAGCTCGCGCAGTCCAACGCAAGCTGTCGCATGATTTGGCTTCTGCACAAGCACGTTTGGCTGAGTACAGGGCTAAGACTTTTGTGTTGTACTTCACTGACATATATTCACTTGTTTTCCTGAACACACCTTTACCCCGCTGAGAAATATATAGTCTTGGTCTTGGGATGTATTCCTCCAGACTCCAAACTTAGGATTCGAGAGAAGAAGGCCAGATTGACGGAGGCGATGCGGAAAATGAAGGCGGAGAGCATGCCTATGCCCTCTCCACCATCAGCAGGCTAGAAACCGTTGTGTATGTAGCTTTTGGTCGATGATGTATCAAATCTTTCAACACCAACACCCTTTGCTTATGATTGTTGATCTCTTTCTCTGCCTGCAGATTTGAGAAGAACATTTGCAGTTGCTTTTTAATACAACATGGCAGGCAAACGGTATCCCAAAATGGCAGTGGGAGATGCCTTTGAGACCCAGCCTGTTGATGTCATGGACCTCCCAGTTCCAGACTCTTTACTGCCAACATCGTCGCCTGAGATTCTGCCCCCTGAGTCCCGGGCAAAGTACCAGCGACGCGTGCCAGTCGCCAAGCCAGAGTCTCCTGCGCAGGAAGCATCACCAGTATCTTACCTTCAAATCGCGCGTGCGCGTACGAGTTATCATTTTGAATATGGGCATTGTATGGGATGTGTAATGCGTAAACGGATCACCTCAAACATCTTCAAACACTCTGAGTGACAGGTGTGGGAGCAAAGGCTGCAGGGCCTAAGGCTGAGGCAAAGGAGGCTGCTGCCACTCAGGTTGCAGGACCTGGTAAGATGGATGCTACCACTAGCGCCACTAGCGGCGAGGCTCCAGCACCAGACAGAGCCTGCCTTTGTGACAAGGGATCAGCAACTAAAGTTGAAGGCATACCAAAGCCGAACGTGGGAAGAAAAAGACCAAAACCACAGCGTCCAAAGGCACCCGTGGGCAAAAGGCAAAGGGGAAGAAGATGAAGAAAGGGAAGAGAGGAAGTCTCCCAAAAAGGGCACAGGTTTCCGTCGCTTGAACACCATCCGTGCTCACCAGAAATCAGGTCAGGAGACTGCAGGTGAAGTTTCCAATGATGATGGTGGCTGGGAAAACGAAGACGGCGCAAAGATCAGAACGTCTCGAAAGCGCAAACAGCGCGGAAATGAGCCTGTGCAACAGGCCTCTTCGTCGAGCAAAGCACCAGCTTCCTCTAAGAGGGGAAAGGCTAAACCAAAGGGCAAGGCAAAGCAGGTGACCAAGCCTGAAAAGAAGAATGCACGAAAGTCAAAGTCACCAAAGTCAGAAGAAAACGAGAGCTCTGCAAAGGCAGAACCCAAAAAGCGTAAGAGCAAAGGGCCAGCCAACGGAGAACCAAAGGCAAAGGCCAAAGCAAGGGGAAGAAATGAACGAATGTGCTTGATGACTTTGTGCGAAGTCATGTGGAACATGCACGGTACGACAAGAAACAGGTCGAGTCGATGATGGACTTTGCAAAGGGGTTCAATTGTGATGACGATGTCAGGTCCAAGCAATTCAAAGACTCTGCTCGGGCCACGAATCCAGATTTGCAAGAGTATAGACTCAACATCTATTGGACCAGGACAAATGTGGGAGTCACAAGCTTGGAGACTAACCAGGATGTGGTATTCTTCTCTTTCAACTCGTCTTCGGCTTGTGATGTGTACCGGACAGTGGTTGCGATGTATTGGGCAATGGAAGCGGCAACTTAGCACTATATAAACATGCCATGGCTTTAATTGTATATCAGTCTTTTGTTCAGCCACAGATTACATACTGCAAGTTGTTGAGCATCCGTTTTGGGGTCGTTATCTGCAAAGCAACATGAAGAAGAATAAACAACATTCATCCTATGTATATACATGGAATGTGTTTGTTTGACGTCGCTGAGGCAGTGGAGCCGGAAAACAACGAGGACTATGGCAAGGAAAGCGAGAATGTGTTGAAGCTCAAACACAACGCAGCCTTGGCTTTGTCTTACCTAGCAAACGCGGACAGTGAGAAGTCGTGAGGTCTGTGATTAGTTGGCCACATGGGCTTGGGCTTGTTTACACCACCATGTTTAGCGAGATGACTTGCGGGGATTGCGTATATACCGGTAGTCTCCATGATGCCTTTTTGGCCAACCTGCCATCTTTGATATTCAAGCTTTCTTGTGATCTTATTTGTCTGTATAATGTTGTGGAGTGGTGCAGTGGAGCACGCTTGGAAGTCTACCGTATATACAGAAACAGCCATGAAACTGGCAAGGGTTACAGCGTCTCGTAGCCTGGTGAACGGCGAAAAAAAATGCAACAAGTGCTTCCAATTCGACCATGCTAAGAGAGGAACCACTGAACGACGGTCAGGCTCAGGAAGCCCAAATGTATGATTTGAGACCTTAGAGACCTGCAAAACCAACCTCTGCTGTAAGCACCAACTGATGCAGTCCTGTTGGCCAGGCAGCGGTGCACTGCACCAAACCTCGCGTGCTTCGTGGCTGTGCGGTTCAAACCAAAACACCCTGAGTCAGTGAAACCAGGATCTTCCCCGAAACAACGAGCCCCGGTGTGTGTTTCTTTGCTTTTCCGTGGCTGGAAGAGTTGGGGTGATTTCCCCATGGGAGATAGGAGATGCCCAACACACCAAATTGCACAAAAGATCTACCTCTGTTCCCAGATCCGAAATGTTGTGGAAGGATTTCCTCACAGGTTCCATGACCGTCCAACCCTTACCCCGCGCCTGACAAGCACGTAAAGATCCATAGTTTCCCACCCTGCAATTGCCAAGGCATTGCCAAACCACCACCAGTTTACCACAACCACAGGACATCCCAACCGAAGTTGATTAGGCAAACACTGGATACGAGGATCATGTAGAGACATGGAGACATGTGCATGTGTGGTGTTTGAAGGGACCGAGAGATCATGTAACAAGCCATTCATCGAGACTGCGGCATGCAGCAAGTTGGGACTGGTATCCTGAAGCAACCTCTGGGCAATTTCCATTTCGCCGACTCAACTCAGCTTCCCCAATGCTTCAACAGCCGCCTTTAGTTCAAATACAGAACTAGGAGTAAGCCAGAATTAGGATTCTGTATGAAAACCTTGAGTCCTGTTTAATGAATTCTAGGCCACCGTGCCCTCTTTGGCCCCAATCGAAGGGGCTTATTGTCGTCCTCAGCCACGCTCGAACTGTAGCAATGGTCTCACACCTGTGTCCATTAGTGTGTTCAAAGAAGGCTAGGCTTTAAGTTTAACTCCGAAAGGGAGCCCTGGAAAAAAAATTGTCAGCTCAAAAGCTTCTAGAGGCCCCGTCTGCTGTTCAAGTCATGTTGGAGGTTACGGAGTCTCGCCAAGTCTCAATGAGGCCGGGGATGTCATTCTCAGGCAAAAGTTGCCATCTGCCACGATCACCAAACCCTCTGTTTCGAGGCCTCTTAGCTCTGGCTGAATTGGCTGAACCGCAATAGCCGCAACGCCGCTCCGTGGAATGCCTATTTGTTCACTACATTTGGGGAAAATGTGTTGCTTTCATCAATTCTGGGAACTATGCAGTCGCGACTGTCTTTTGGTACAATACTCTGAGTGAAAAAAGCCACGAAAAAGACAGAGCTCAGACTGGAGCCACAGAGTGCGGAGCTCTAATCGGGAGACCTCTCAACGAAACGTGTCTCCCCAACGATGCCTTCAAAGTTCATCCAAACCCGTTCATGTTCCAGATTACAAGTATGATGTGAGAGCAAGAAAGCACGCAAGCGAGGCGAGGCGAAGCGAAGCGAAGCCTTCGGGGCTTCTGCAGAAGTACATAGTACATAGTGTTGGCTTCATCTTGTTTCATTGTCCAGTTTCTTGTTTTGCCTGCAATCTTCAGTCTGTGCCAAAAGAACAGACTGTGCTTCTACAGACAGCACCAACACCTTCAATCAGCTGAATCGACTCGTCCGCCTTTTCCCTGCAGGTCGGTCGACCCGTCGTCAACTCTTCTCTCACTCCTCGGAGCCCTTGACGTCCTGACGGCGCGTGACGCCACGCCACGGGCGGACGCACGCCCACGGGCTGTTCCGTCAAGGAGTCAGTCGTGACGACGACGGGTTCCCAATTCTCGTGATTTCGATGCCCCCAACGACGTCGTCACGGCTTCCCTCAGCCATATTCCTGAACTCATGTTCAGAAAACGCCGTAATTTCAGGGCACATGTCTCTCTGTTCTGTCTCTGTCGCCGACGCGCCTTCTTCTTCTGCAGCTCTGCTACTTGCTCCTCCTTCTGCTCGTGGTGGTACTCAGCGAGGCGCTTCATCACGGGATCCAACGCTTTGGCCGCTCCCGAGTTGAGGAGTGGATCTTTGGCGCTGGATCTTTGGCGCCTGTCAGCGACTTGGCGAACTCAGACCTTTGGGCACGGAGAGAAGGAGGGTACCCTGGGGTCATGCCTTTGAGACTTTGTGAATAACGAGAAGTCGGGGGCTGTTGGAATCCCGTGCACAAAAGGAAGGATTAACCCAACTGACAACCCCAATAGCAAAGCATCAACCAAGATCTGGCACATCTTTTTTTGGGGCGCGTTGTTCGTTGCACTGTTCTTTCACATAGCGCATACGGAGGACAATTAAAAAACACATAGTCAAACGAAAAGTGACCAAAACAAATTCAATATCCAAGCAACCTTTGTACTCTTCTTTAGTAATATATATATATATATAAGGGTTGCTGAGAATATCCAACTGCAAAGAACCTGAGAAAGGAAAATGAATCATTACTACAATCAATGAATCCTCCCAGGAACCCAGATTTGTTTGGGCGGTAGTTTACTATAGAGGGCCTCCGGTTTGTTTAGCTGAGGGGGGATCCCTTTTACTAGTCCGATGCGTCCTGGTCACTTGTCATTCTTGTCATTCGCTTTCAGGCTTTGGAACGGATTCTCCCACCTAACTTGCTTTCCTACCAAAGCCTGAAACGAATTCTACCCACCAAACTAGAATCCTACCAATACTAGAAACTTGCTAGAATCCCACCTGGGTTGCTTGGATCCTTGTTCTTCCTCCGAGTGAGTCATTGTCTGCCCACCCGACGACCCAAGCCCCGGGTCCGTCCGTCGGGAGGGTGGGGTGGTTCTGGTTTTGATGGATGAAAGGCAGAAATTCTGCATCAGCTCCTGCTGGAAGATCCAGGAATGAGGATTTCACCTCATTGACTCGTGTTTTTGATCAAACGAATGTGAAGGGGATTCGATGCTGTGGCTTGGGCCGCTTGGGCCCGCTTGGGCCCCACCTGTTGCCGAGGTGAATCATACCGATCAAACCGCGACCGCCCCTTTCACCGCGGTGCGACCGGGCGAACCGGAGCCGGCGCTGTGCCAAAGACTAGATCATGTAACCTAGTAGCTTCTTGTTCCTAGTAGCGTCCTTGCTCCGTTCGTAGCGATGCCAGGAGCCCCTAGTAGCTTCTCATCACGTACTGCAACGGAACTCAAGAGTGAAGGTCTCTGAAAGGGATTGGAAAAAGTAGATGAAATCACAGTTCTGGAGCGTCATTCCTTCACTATAACCACGAGTCGCCAGAGTGGGAGCAAACATCGAAAATGCATAGTCTTTATATATCAAGTATGCGGTATGCCTGACTGTATTCTCATCATCGTATCATTTGCATCACAAGGCTCATGAAAATGAACCAAATGACCTATTTCAACCGTTTCATGGTTCCACCATTTGCACCAGCTAATTGTCACAGCGTAGTTTATTGTACAACAAGCTTGCAAGTTGGTATAATCTGGACCCCTGAAAAACGTACAAGCTCAAGGGAAACAAACTATATACCCAACAATGCTTGTAAGAGGGTCCAAAAATGGAGTGATGATAGACACTTCTCTACATGTTATTGGACTCCCAGGGAAGTCAAACCTCGTTCCTATTACCATGGCTCACGACGGGGTCCATTTCGACGAACCATTTCGCGTCCGAGCGGCTCGCGAACTTTAGACATCTCATTCAAATTACACATTGTGAAAGGTGATGTGCACAGCCCTTAAGGTGCGCGCGTCATGCCACAAGAGGTAGTCTGGAAGTGACTATGCTCGGTGGTATGGGTGGGCAGAGGTTCACGAACCACATATATGATAGAAAAAACAAAGAAAAACAGGCCCTGGCTTGCTCACTTTTTGGGGTGGACGAAGACCTCCGAAACCGCCGCCGCCTTGCCAGCTGCACCGTTTCGGCGGATGACGGGGACCTCCAGGATCTTTGCCTGCGAGAACATGGGGAGGACGGACTTTAGAAGTGGAAAAAGGCCCGGAAAGGGGGGGGAGTGGGCCTGTGTGTGTGTCTTACAGAGAGGCCTTCAAATTCTAGTGATAAGGGCTCTTCCCATGTACCAAACACAACTATAGACCGGATTCTGACCTTAGATTCACAGTTACTCACTGGCCTCAGCAAGTTGCACTTCACCATCCCCATCCTCATTCACTCCTAAGCTCCGTCAATTTCCACCTTTTTCCACCTGTTCATCGATCTTGCCCCTATTCAGAGGCAGATGAGGCAGCATTTTGGACACTCCGGTTACTTCGGTTGTCTGGTGGGGAAACAATCCCCCAAAAAGGTAAATGGTTATCCGCATGCGCAGGCCAAAACTCATGTTTCTCATGTCCCCCCACCGGAACTGGTTCAAGGTTGACTACTGGCCACAAATGACAACTAGTTTCTCAACTGCTGAAAGAATATGACCCGTTCCTCTTCAGACAATTGTCAAAAACCAGAATTCTGCTGGGTCGGCAGTAGTTCTGGAGTTCTCTGGCGTCATCTAAGAAGTCTCCTGGAACTCCTCCACGTTGGTGAGGTTCTCCTCTTCGAAACGGATAAAGCCTGGATCCTCGAGCGGCCAATGCTGAGAAGAACGACAATCGTCCGCAACCAATGGAGGGACCGGCCTGTCTTGAGTGGACCTCCGGCTCCTGAAACGGTTCTTCACATGAAAAACTGTCATTCTTTTTGCTTGTACAAACTGGTTTATACTATTCCAGACACGACCTGTCTGGGACTGGACGCCGCCGAAGGACCCCCACGTCAAAAACCCTAATTGATCGACAAATATGCCAGTCCCAGACTGGTCGTGTCTGGGCATTATGTGTTGGTTCTTTGACCCATATAGCATCCTTAAGGTGGGAATGTCTGGGTATTATGTTTATGTTGATACCATGAATCGGCTCTTTGGCCCAGCGTCAAACATTTCTGTTGTTTTATGGTGAACCGGCCCCGTTCAGGGTCGTGGAATTCCAGTCCGGACACAATTCAGTTGTCTGAATATATATATATATATACTATATATATATATATATCTGTTGTTGGAATGAAACAGCGTACTATCCACGATGCACCTCAAGTATGGCACTTAAAAGAATGCATGGACATGGGCACATCTTTGCACATCAATGCACATCCGAAACATGTTCGCTTGTTCCCCAAAGAATCAAGCTGGACCCCCCAAGGTCCCCCTAGAACATGGGGCAGAGTCAAATAGTAAACACAACACGAACAAATACAAATGGCTATGCCGTCCAGGATCTTCACTTCGTGACTTCTTTTGGAGTCGCCTATATATACGTGACCTGTAAAACAAGGCCTGTTGGTGACCGAACATCCTGAGATCTCAAGATCGGTCACAAACTGAAGGTCCTGGTACTTGTAACCCTGAACTGACTGGTGCGTAGTAAGGAATGCGGAAATGACCTCCTAAAAAGACATTCCTTAGGGTCCATTCCGTCATTCCTTGCAAGTCACATCAGTCAGTGAATAACCCTTGTGTTCGGTCTTGAAAGGATCGTAGAGAAATGTGCCAGTCAACCAGGTCTCATGGAGTCCCGTACGAGTCCGGGTCGTTCCGCATTTAGCGGGGAAGCCATCAGGGCCATCATCGGGCCATCACGTAAATCGTCTTCACTTGATACGATGTGAACAAGAAGCTACGATCGGGGCTCCTGGCCTTACTACTAGGAGCAAGGACGCTACTAGGGGCTCCTGTTCACTGCTTGACGCCTCGTTGGACTCGAGGACGGACTCGCTGTTGGCGAGGTGGAGGAAGACGGACTCGCCGGTGGTGCCCCGAGCGAGTCCGAAGGTGCGTCTGAAAATGGAGGGAACAACTGAGAACACAATGCAGGATGTTCTGCTTGGCGGTTGGATATGGAATTCTGAAAGCTGCACTTGCCTTTCAGTGTCCTAGCTGAGGCCTACTAAAGCTCCTTCAGACCAAAGATGGTCTTGGAACCACCAATTGGCGCGGATAAGATGCCCCGCTGAAGACAGGAACTTCAGATCTCAAACCATCCGAGTGAACGGCCGAAATGAGCTGTGTGGTTCATCCCCTGCATTCCTGTCACTGGCCGATCCGATCCATATGTGAAGTGGACGCATGGACCTTCAGACTCGTACCGCTGCCCACCCGGTGGCCGTCAGCAAGAAATCCTAAAACACCTCGAGCATCTGCTGACGGTTACTCCATCGGTTCTCTCTACCAACGATAGCGGCTGCTTGACTCTGCACTCTCCCACTACCCGTATCTGCGTTTCTTTGACGGAACGCACATCTCCCAAGACTTCTAGTCGCAAATAGCATTGCACTTAACAGAAATTCCTCGTTGTTTGGTTCTGTCTCTTGCTCTCTGTCTCCATACCAATCTGTCTACCAAGCAAAGCAGTTATTGGTTCCTCAATGAGATGAAAAATAAATCCATCGCCACCCACATCCCACCCAAAACCTTCGCAGGCCCAGAGAATTCCCGATCCGAAAGACACGGGTTACCGATCTGCCTTCTACATGGGTGTAGTCCTTGTTTCGCTTGGCACGTCCCGCTCGCCTCGGTGACAGCTGACCCATCGACAGAGGGTCGCACCAGGTGACAACGGTCTTTCTCTGTCGAACAGCCCCAAAAAAAGGGGCGGGCAAACGACACCTGCCGGGGGATGGGTTTGATCTATGTTCAAAATGTCAACTATGTTCTTTTTGGAGTGGTGTTGTGTTTGCTGTCCAGGGTGGTTTGAAGGAAAAGCGTCAGTAGCTGGTAAACATTGGGAGGGGTCCATACAATCTGTACTGGGGTCAACAACCTTGCCGTAAGTCTGACTAATCACCCCACGAATCCAAGCAAACAAACAAACGACTCCGACCAAGTCTTTCCTGAATAGTCTTCCCTCACTTTGGACCTACAATTGCACACCAGCTTCTTCATTCAAAACCAAGGTGATGACGCACAAAAAACTCGGAGCAGAGCCCAGATTGTTCAAGATTACACCACCGCAGACCCCAAACAGTTTGCGCTTTTCAAATCGAAACTAGAGCTTGCGACGCCCAGAGCTGGGAGACAAAGGATTGCGTGCAGAGCGGGCGGACACATTTTAAGAAAGAATTGACAAGCCCCAACAGCAAACCTTTTGGGGAATTATTCTTCAAGTGCGAACATGATGCTGGTCATGCTGCTCAATCAGCGGGGAGCTGACCACGTGAGGACAAGAAATAAAAGCATGAGGAGCGAAGGACGTGACATGAAACTGGTTTTTGGTGCCTGACGTATGCCCTCCGTCCCAACTGAACGCCGAAATCCAATCCGGTCATTCATCCAACGCTTGCCCGAAAAGGAAAACAAAACTGAGAGAGTTACACAGTGTGGCAGGAATGCAATCCCGGAGACAATCACGCACCCCTTTCAAAGGAGCAAGAACCTTTCACAGGTCAACCTGTTCCAGCGGACAGGGCAGAAAACACCAGCGCAGCAAAAAGAAAGAAATCACATGGGAGACAAATGAATAGAAATGCTACATGGCCAGCGGAAAAGGGCGGCAGCACCAGTCACAGATACGGGAAACAAATGAAAAGAAATGCTGCATGGCCAGCGGATAAGGGCGGACACCAGCAGTGACAGACCTGGAACACACATGAATAGAACTGTTGCATCGCCAGCGGAAAAGGGCTGACACCAGCAGTGACAGACCTGGAGACAAATGAATAGAAATGCTACATGGCCAACGGAAAAGGGCGGACACCAGCAGTAACGGACCTGGGAGCAAATGAATAGAAATGCTTCATGGCCAATAGACAAACACACACCAGCGGACGCAAGAATAGAAATGCCAGCGGAAAAAGGCGGACACCACCAGTGACAGGCCTGGAAGACACATGAATAGAAATGCTGCATGGCCAACGGACAAGGACGGACACCAGCAGTGACAGACTTGGGAGATGAATAGACATGCTGCATGGCCAGCGGAAAAGGGCGGACACCACCAGTCAGACCTGGGAGACAAACGAATAGAAATGTCGCATCGCCAGCGGAAAAGGGCGGACACCAGCAGTGACAGACCTGGGAGACAAATGAATAGAAATGCTACATGGCCAGCGGAAAAGGGCGGACACCAGCAGTGACAGATGTGGCAGACAAATGAATAGAAATGCTACATGGCCAGCAGAAAAGCCAGCGGAAAAGGGCGGACACCAGCAGTGACCAACCTTGGAAACAAATGAATAGAAATGTTGCATCGCCAGCGGAAAAGGGCGGACACCGCAAGTGACAGACCTGGAAGACAAATGATGAATAGAACCAGCGTCCAAGGGCGGGCCGGCAGTGACAGACCTGGGAGACAAATGAAGAGAAATGTTGCGTGGCCAACGGAAAAGGGCGGACACCACCAATGACAGACCTGGGAGACAAATGACTTAAGGCCAGGGGAGGAGGTCGAAAGCTAGCCGAATTGCACCGGATGTACTAGTTACATAGTCGGCAAAGCATGTAGTGATTACATGTTTTGGGAGAAAGGTTGCTACGTACACACTTTGCGCTGAAGAATGTAAATGTGACATCGCCGACTGGGAAGGGTACATTGGAACAACACGGGCGCACTCGTTGGCAGGCACGAAGGGGGGTAAATTTACCCCCCGCTTTTGTATGCCTTGAGTCGAAAAGAGGGGTAAGCATTTCTGACATCACACGGACTGTACATACACTGGGCGTCCGTAGTGTAGGAGAAGCACGGGTAAAGGGTATATGGAATATAGAGTGTCTTGAGGAAATAGCCGGCTTGTGGTTATTGCAATTCTGGTGGTTAATTTTTTAAAATTTACCCACCGCTTATGTATGCCTTGTGCCGGAAAGAGGGGTAAGCATTTCTGGATATTTCTGGCATCACAAGGACTGTGCATACACTAGGGCGTCCGCAGTGTAGGATAAGCGCTGGTAAAGGTATAAGGAGTAGAGTGTGTTGAGGAAATAGCCGGCTTATGGTTATGGCAACTCTGGGGGGTAAATTTACCCCCCGCTTATGCATGCATTAGGTTAGAAATAGGGGTAAAGAACTTGTAACAGTGAAGTACAAGTCCGGAGACAAGCCAGCCGGGAACCCGACCACAAGCACCCAGGGAGACAA